ATCAGCTTAAAAAAGTGACATTAAGTTCTTGACGACCTAATATAATGTGTCAGGACAATGGTTGCTTTATAGAGTTTGGGGAAATTAAGGTTTACTTTGTGGAGTCAGTGGAGGTTAAGGTTTACTTTATGGAGTCAAGTTTGTGGAGATTATGGTTTACTTTTTGGAGTCTGTGGAGTTTAAGGTTTACTTTCAAGATAACTAACTTCCACACACATAAATGTTATCTTTCTTATGTGTCTGCCTATAAAATTTGCATGCTGCTAGCCTTGAGCTAACTCCCACCTAAATTTATGTGTTTAATGTGAACTGCACTGATGCATGATGATTCATTTCGGTTATTCAATTCCCAGTTTTCGAATATTTTTGTTTCTCCATGCTTGGGTGGGTGAACCCCTTCATTTCTGTTTTCTTTTCTTGTGCCCACTTTTCATGTTTTTATCTTTACTACTTTCCCACATTACTTCTGGCCACTTCACCTTATGTCTGAGACACTTTATTGTGCTCCCAGGGATTTCTGGAGAGGTTCATGGTCTTCTTTTCACTACCATGTCTTGTTTGATTCCTCTGTTAGTACTTGTTTTGTAGGAATGCTTTTTTAATGTATGCCTCCCTCACATTTCTACCCATGGTTTTCATTGGACTCCTTTTATTTGGCCATACATTTTTAGGGATATTACTATTTTACTGGAGACCCAGCTTAGGGTGGCCCAACATCTGTCCCTCATTGTATGCTATTATTTCTTGTCTTTCTCTCCTCACTCCACATTACCATAATTGAACATCTTGCAGTTTGTCAGGCATGTTCCTCCCCCCTCTACATTTATACAGTTTTTTCATATATAAATCATCAGGATGGTATCCACTGCAGGATTATTTGCTTCTGAGCTCTGGATCTGCTGTTTAGAACCATTCCGATTGAGTATGTCTCTTCTCTTACATGTGCCAGGGGCTCAGAAACTCTTAATGGATCACTGCTCTTGACAAACCAGAATTTTACCCTTGTGTGGCCTCTCCACCCTCAGGTTTTTCATTGGATTTACTCTTGGTTCTTCATGCCTCTCCTCTGTCTCTTCACCATTCCTCTTTGCACCACAATTCTACTCTTCTGGTCCCTGGTTCCTCATCTTCTGGCTTAGGTGGTCATTTCTCTCACCTGGGTCTGATTTAGCCCTTTTCTGCATGTCTCTCCTCCTATTCAACTCCTTCCTGGTGTCTTCTTCTTGATACACAATACTCCTTGTTCTGGTCCTATCGGTGGTGCCTCTTTGTCCTGCTCATTCCCTAGTTCCCTCTGGTTTGCCATTTCTGTGCTGGATCTCTTCCAGTATCCTGCTCCCTATCTCTCTGTTGCTCTGACTTCACACATCTTTTTTTTCACCCAAAGGTGTTGCCTCTTCATCTTCACATGTGGGATTTGTCTGGTCCATTACCTGCAGGATCAGATTTTCCATTTGTGTAGCCTTCTTATCCTGTTCCTGTAATCCTTCATGTTTGTCTGTCTACCAGTGGTAGTTGCAGGTTTTTTCCATCTGCCATTTCCTTTTTCTAGGTTGTCACTTTTGCCCACCTTTCAGCCCTTTCACTTGGCTTTTAGACCATTATTTGTTGGTTTCTACCATTACTGATTATCAGGTGGCTTTATTGCCCAATCGACTCCTTTCTCTATGATTTTCTTGTCATTTTGGTCCTTCCTACTTCATCAACCCCTGGACCAATTCCCATGCCTTACAAAGACCATGATGTGGTTTTGCACTATCTCACACATGCCCTGTTCATGCCATGACCTTCTTTTTCTTTATACCAACTTTTTTACAAGACTTACTTCCCTCAACCAGTGGTTGCCGTCTTTCACAAGTCTGTGCCATTGCTACTTATTGTACTTTCTTTCACCATCCTTTTTTATTCTTTTACTATGATAAGTCCTTTCTTGTTTGTCCTAGGATTATTAATCTCCACTGTGGAAAACTGTCAGGTTGCTTTGCCAATTATTTTATGCCCTTCTGTATAGATGTAAGTATAAGTAAATGATGCTAATTGATGGAGGAGTTTTTATATGCTATAGTGTACATGTAAGTATAAGAAAATGATGCTAATTGATGGAGGAGTCTTTAGATGCTGTAGTGTACATGTAAGTATAAGTAATTGATGCTAATTGATGGAGGAGTCTTTAGATGCTGTAGTGTACATGTAAGTATAAGTAAATGATACTAATTGATGGAGGAGTCTTTAGATGCTGTATCCTACATGTAAATATAAGTAAATGATGATTGATGGAGGAGCCTTTTGATGTGTGAAAATAAATACCATTATTAAAATGTGTTGATGTGAAGAAAAACAGGTCAGCAGTTATTTGATGAGAAATATATTTTATATTTAATGGTGTAAGTCTTTGAAAATGTTAAAGCATTTATTTATTATACTTTGCTAATTGGTTGTTCGTTCTTGATAGCTACTGAAGCTCATGATGATGATGGTCTTCCTCATACTCTTGAACACCTAATCTTCTTGGGAAGTGAACATTATCCATACAAAGTAAGTCTGTTAAACTAATGTAGCTTAATTAACAACATAGAAGATCTGTTGGTCATTCACAGTTTTGTGTAATCATATGTCTATCAGAATGGACAACTTTACCACCAGTTAGGCTGAACTAATGTAGAAAACTCTCAGGTTACAGTGTGTGTGATTAATCATTATAGAAATATTGTTGATTTAACATGCTACAATACCACTGATTAGGCTGAACAAATGTAGAAAACTCTCAGGTTACAGTGTGTGTGTGTGATCATTATAGAAATATTGTTGATTTAACATGCTACAATACCACTGGTTAGGCTGAACAAGTGTAGAAAACTCTCACCAGCTCACAGTGTGTGTGTGCCATTATGGAAATATTGTTGGTCTGACACTGGTTTCTGTAACTATTCCAGAACTGTTCAGTATTCCTCTGTCTGCTCAGCTACTTTCTAGATACTATTGATTGGGCACTGTTGTACTATTGCCATATGGTAGTAAAAATATGTTTTTTGTTTGTACTAAACAAATTAATTGTTTCTTTTATACAGATTTCTGCATATTGTTCATATTGAAGGTTCTTTCTTACCTCCAGTGAACTCAGAAAATACAATTTTTCTTTCTCAAATTTTTTAATAAAGTATTTCAATGAACAAAGACTTCTTCATGTTTATTTTAATTAGAGTCACGATTTTCTGCATTTATACGAAAACTAGTGAAATTCATTGAATTATGCTGTAGGCATTTTAACTGTAATTACCAAATTTCAACTCTCTTGTAAAAGTAAAGCAAAATCATCAGAAAAACTGGTTAATTTTTTGAAAAAATGAGAAACTTGGTAATTCTTTTTAAACTTGATGTTTTTGTGACGTATCTTGTGGATTCTCTGTCATTCTCTGTTTTAGTTCTGCACCTGTGTGTTGTATAGATCACATGAAAAGGTCATGTGACTACCATGTAACTTCAGCAGGATAATGTGCTTTAATAGATTTTTTATATGTATCATGTGGCTTCTCCATCATTCTTTGCTTTACTTCAACAGCTGAAAAAAATAAGAACACAATCAGCTGTGCTTTCATTTGTGCTAGATGTTTCCTCCTCATTATTTCAGAAAAATCAAAACATTGAATGCCAGAGAACCCCAAGATTTCAATTCAGTTTTGAATACTGGATTCCAGTATAGTGTGCTCTACCTTTATGCCATTCAAGATGAATATATTTCAGTAGTAAGAGCAGTAGATCTAAAATTTTAAACACGAGATTTTTGAAAGTTGAATGAATGTGTAACATAAAACATACAATTTTAACATGGAAATGTGTGGGGAAAATATCCAACATCTTACCATAATGGAGCAATGGCATGGCTGTTTATCTATCTGTGTGATCTATATAATAAATACAATAGTGCCATCTGTTGTGCTGAAGTACAACAAGATCTCAATGCCAGAAGTGGTAATTGGGGCTTATGTGGCACCATCTATTGAGTTGCATCACAAACAAAAAATACATAAACAAATTACACATTTTGAGTATTCAAGATTCAGACAATTAGAAAAATAACTATGGTATGTGCAACAACCATTTCTTTATAACAGAACACAATTTTAAATAAAAGTTTTCTCTTCACAACAAGAACACAACTTTCACTAGGACAGTATGTGAGGGTTTGATTATATATTTATTGATGCAATTTTTAAATGTACTAAAAAACTGGAGTTGTTAAAAATATATTATTTGATAGAGGGTAGCACTTTTAATATATAAAAACATTACAGCTTATATCAGTAACATTTATGACAATTGAACTCTCTACATTGAATCATTTTGATGCAATGAGTTGCGTATGGCTAAAGAACCCAATCCGGTACTTCCCAGAAAAAATACTTTTTAGAAAATGTTCCTTTTTTACAGGGAGGTATGCACACTACAATTACTATTCAATAGCACAAACACCTGCACGTAGGGTGGTTTTTCTCATAGTTGTAACAGAATTGCACAGAGAATAAACACTGCTTTAAACCATAGTTATGGTTTATAATAAAAAAAATGAGTAGGCACAGATTTGATTAATGATTTGTACTTTATGGTAATATGTGGTTTGTAAGCCTTCTAATTTTAAGATTTATCATTAGTCTTAGGGTTCCAAAACATACATCAATTGCTACCATAATTGGTAATAGTTATAATCAGTTTACCTTGTTGGTACTTAAAAAATAGAAAAATTAAATTTGAATAGTTTAATTTTTTGAACAATGTATGAAATGTAATACCTAAATTTTTAATTTTAAAGTATTCATTCCACAATTTTATGGTTCAAGAAAGTGCTCACAGTTTAAGATAAATTATTGAGTTTTTGAAATAAAACAAAAACTCAAAACAAAGCCCTTATAAGACAACTTAATGGCAATTTGTAACTGTTGAAAAAGCACACTAGAAAATTAGACTATAACCTTCTTGTTAATTGGATAAATATACAGAATAAAATATAGGGATAATCACTAAGAAAAAATTAATATGTTGAGAAAATATAACAAAGAATTATGGCTATACCATTTCATAAATAATATTCTTTTGTTTTGAAAAGTAAGTATCTGAATTGGAACTTTTCAAGTTTTAAAACTTGTTGATTTTACTGGTGGTTAGTGCTTTGGTTATCATAGTATTAAATGTCATTAGTTATGTATGTTTTCAAGTTTTAAAACTTGTTGATTTTACTGGTGGTTAGTGCTTTGGTTATCATAGTATTAAATGTCATTAGTTATGTATGTTTTCAAGTTTTAAAACTTGTTGATTTTACTGGTGGTTAGTGCTTTGGTTATCATAGTATTAAATGTCACTAGTTATGTATGACTTTCAGAGCAGGTTATTGAGTTCGCATTTCATTTACTCAGTTTTGCAGTTTTAATTTCTGTAGAGCTATTCCTTTAATATGTTTATATACTGTATAATGCATGCACAGTTACAAAGAGATATAAGTAAAATGTGTTTTCACCATTACTAAATGGAATTCAACAAACATTCATTGTGCTAATGCCTATTAACCTTAGGGGATCACTGTGTTATAAGCTCACAGTCACTATTGCTAATATCTATTAACCTTAGTGGATCACTATGTCATTATTTTATTCTAGTGGAGTTTCCAAGGAGGATATAATCAAAGACTGAATTAAAATAGAATTGTTTCTATGAAGTTTAAGTACTAATTCTACGAGTATAGGATAGTCAAATAGATCTTCAAACAATTCACAAACTAGTTATCACTTATCTCAAAAACAAAACAAATTACAGGAACATTAACTGTTGATCTTCAGTAAGCAAAACTTTTTTTTTTTCATGGGTAGAATTTAATATTCATATTATAATATTTAGGGTGTATTGGATCTGCTGGCTAATCGATGTTTGGCTTCAGGCACTAATGCCTGGACAGACACTGACCACACCTGTTATACAATGATGACTGCCGGAGCTGAAGGATTTCTGAAACTTTTACCCATTTATTTGGATCATGTGCTATATCCACTGTTAATGGTAATGTACTAAAGGTGTATTCTTACAATGTTTTCTTATCATTGGTCAAATCCTGTAATGTTTCTTCTTGGAGCCTAGTGGCTAAGCTTGTATAATTGTTTTATTTATGTAAGCAGTGGTATGTTTGGGAATGAACATTTTGTCTGGTAATTACAAATAAAGTCCTATGTAATTCCTTATATCTAAAGGATTAATCCTAACTGAGTTGTTATGTACAAGTAGTTTTATTTAGGCAGCTAGTATTTTTTTGATAAAATAAAATAATTTTCTAAAACTTTTGAAAAATTGTTAGGGATTGTTATTGAAAAATAAAAACTTCTTTCAATTGTTGAATATTTTTATTAACATTAAGTACATGTGTACACATTGACACACACAACTTTTACTGAAGGAATGGTAGCTGTGTCAGTATAAAGTTATATTACATTTATATGGTCTGTGGTTGATAATCCACTAGGTAAAAACTTCAGTCACCATAGGAGAGCTATGAAGTAGTATTAATCCTAACATGTCAGTGGTTTAATAAAAGTTGCAATCACTCAATGCAGGAAGAAGTCCAAATAGTTTAAGTTTTTAACATATATTATAAGTAATTTCTCTACAATTTAGATAATAGTAAATGAAACATTTTGTAAAGGAGCTCGACTGGTATTCTTCTGTACAGCCACCATATTTCCTGTAATATAAGCTTCATTTTTCTGCTGTAAAAATCATGCAAAATAAATGTCATTGTGAGTCAAGCACATTACAAGATTCTAAATGTGTTAATAACTTGAAGATTAATCTGTGACTATAGGGATGACACTTCCATTCATAATAATATAAAATCATAATAAACCTAGTTGAAAGAAATGAAGACTGAATAATAAAGTTAATTAAAATAACAATAAGAACTGTGTCCTTAAAAATGTTCCCATGAATATCCATTCTGAACAGTGAAACATTCAACATCCTCCTGTAACCCTTGTTTCATTACACTAAGCCAGTTGTATAGAGTGTAATACATAATACACATATCTTTGTATCACTAAGTATAAGTAAGAAGTATCCTTCATTCTGAATAGTGACAGTGAAACATTCAATATCCTCCTGCAAACCCTGTTTCATTACACTAAGCCAGTTGTATAGAATGTAATACATAATACACACATCTTTGTATCACTAAGTATAAGTAAGTATCCTTCATTCTGAACAGTGACAGTGAAACATTCAACATCCTCCTGCACACCTTGAACAGTGACAGTGAAACATTCAACGTCCACCTGCAACCCTTGTTTCATTACACTAAGCCAGTTGTATAGAATGTAATACATAATACACACATCTTTGTATCACTAAGTATAAGTAAGAAGTAACCTTCATTCTGAACAGTGACAGTGAAACATTCAACATCCACCTGCAACCCTCTGCAATGTGCCCTCTATCCTGGTACTGTATATAAACACCTAGTATACTAGTATGCAATCAGACTATTCAAGAATAATTATGCTACTGTATGAAAAAAATTTTATAAAAAATCCAATTTGTAGGATTTACATAACACATTAAAAAAAATCAGAAAAATCAAATATTTATTTAACATATTTATTATCATCAAATGAGTTAATAAACAGGAACCAAACTTATTAGTACAGTATCCAGTTTAGAGTTACTAAAGAGGGATGAAACTTGTTAATATAGTATCAAGTTTAAGAGTTACTAAACAGGGACCAAACTTACTGGTACAGTATCCAGTTTATTGTTACTAAACAGGGACCAAACTTGTTAGTACGATATCCAATTTAGAGCTACTAAACAGGGACCAAACTTGTTAATATAGTATCCAGTTTAAAAGTTACTAAAACAGGGACTAAACTCAAGTCCAATATCCAGTTTATTGTTAATAAACAGGGACTAAACTCAAGTCCAATATCCAGTTTATTGTTAATAAACAGGGACTAAACTCAAGTACAATATCCAGTTTAGAGTTAATAAAACTGGGACTAAACTCATTAGTACAGTGTCCAGTTTAGAGTTACTAAAACAAGGACGAAACTCATTACTACAGTATCCAGTTTAGGGTTACTAAAACAGGGACTAAACTCATTAGTACAGTATCCAGTTTAGAGTTACTAAAACAGGAACTAAACTCAAGTACATTATCCAGTTTAGAGTTACTAAAACAGGAACTAAACTCAAGTACATTATCCAGTTTAGGGTTACTAAAACAGGGACCAACTCATTAGTAAATGTGACCCTTAAGATAGTGATCAAAACAATAACATGTGTAACTAAATTGTGAATTCTGCCTAAATCTTATCCCATTGAATATAATGGAAGTAAATTTGATATAATTGGCACTTGAAACTGTCAGTTCTTGGTGAATCTTGATAATTTATAATCCATGTTGTCACATTGTTTTGCAAGTTGCACATGTTGAACAAGTTATTTCTGACAAATCTAGTGATTTTTTTGTATTTTAGCAGTTTATTATTGTTCATGACATTTAACAAAAAGAATGGAAACTAACACCAATACTTTATGTAATTAAAATTGAAAAAATGTATATATTTAATGAATCTATTTTATTTATTTCAAACAAAGCATTTTTATTACATTCTGGTTTTACCTTTCTGTCTACTGTATGACATTACTTCATGTATGAAAATCTGCTACTTCTCAAACTTTAAAAAAAGAAATTACAACAATTTTTTTCTTTAGTAATGAGAAACCTTGTTCCTCTGATTAGAGAAACAGATAAATAACAATAACATTCCCATAATTTTTATGTGTTCAACTAAAAAACAACCTTGAGGAATGGAATGATACCCAAATTTATTTCATGTTTAGAAAAAAAGACCATTATAATTTATCATCTGTTTAATACAAGACCCATTGATCATACACAGAACTAACTCAGTTTTATAATGTTGAATCTTATTTTTACACATGAATGAAAGAATTTTAATATCAGTACTTGAAACCCAGCATCAATGACTGTAGTTGTGCATAATTATGTCTGGGTAGTTAAACTGTATAATTATTCAGTTGAGATTTACTTAATTAATGACAACATCTTAGTGTTTTTCAGGTTCTTGGAAAATTATATAGACAATTCTATTTGACTCCCTTACAATGACTTAGGTCAGAGATGTTAGAAAATGCAAACTTGTCGTATTGTGTAGATATCATAATTGCCTTCTTTCATTTCATATTAGTATTAAAAGTTTTGAAATTTCATTTATTAAAAAGATTTATACACACACATAGGATGCAGGTTTTATAACTGAAGTCCATCACATCAATGGCGAGGGGGATGATGCAGGAGTGGTGTATTGTGAAATGCAAGCACGGGAGAATACAGGTGAAAGCAGGTGTCATCGTGCATTTCTTCAAGCCATGTACCCTGGACATTGTGGCTACAAATCAGAAACAGGAGGACTAATGAAGAACTTAAGAGAAAGTACTTCAAATGAAAAGGTGAAGTAGTAGTCATAGTTTGTCATAAATTTTAATTTAGAGATACTTTGTACAGGGTGTCTGGAACCATATGCTGTCCTTGTAATTCAAAACAAGTTTGGAGACTTCCATTGCCTCCGAACACTGTGAAACATATTCATGTCATTGTTAATGGTCCAACGTTTCTAGCAAAATTTGTTCTCTCAGATGTTTTGTGTTCCTGGATTTCCTGAATTCATTTGTGAATTTCAAAAAATTATAGAGAACTTATCTTTTATTGGATTTCAGATTTTTTTTTGTAAATAGTAGCATAATATTTGTACAAAATTGTATTATTTAATGAAGTTTAAAGAGGAATTTAATGGAAAATATCCTAAAATACATTTTAGACTGTAAATAAGCGCCCTCTAAGAAGAAATTTTTTTGTCAAAATTTTTTTAAGATATTTCCTTTCACTTCAGTACTGGTCCTGCCATCTATGATTGGTATCTAAACCTTTTTCTACTCTGTTTTCTTTATAAAACTGCATCTGGGCATGTTAAACCTCAGTTGTAAAACTAGTCCTAGTCAATCCTAGTTGAAGGTGTCAATTTCAGTACCATGTTATTCCAATCGCTGTATCCCTCATTTGACAAATCATAGGATCATAAGGAAAGCACGTGATGAAATGTTGTTCTCTGGATTTTACAATATGAATGTGGGTGGTGCTTATTATAGTAACTGCCATTTTCTGTAGAGGTTTTATTTAGTACTGGCCAATAGTGCTCATCTATAAGCGTTAGAAAACTTGCTTCTGAAAAAACTGCATGGGATGTACGCGACTTTTA